GGCTCCCAATGTTTATGATGATTAGTTATGCAAATGCCCTATAGATGTCGTACACCTTAGAAAACGATATGAGGGGTATACTCATCTATTTCATACTTAACCTAATGTTAGTAATATCACAAAGCATAGGAACTGATTGTTTATAACTAAGTTATACATTTTGTCCCTGCAGTAACATGGCTCCCCTAAATTGTATGAACAATTTACCTTAAACTCTAATTACATTGTACTTATATGAGCAAATGTGGAATCAACATCTATACTACTGAGGAACAATACAATTTTGATATTTGAATAGGCTCTTTGGCGGGGACACCCCACTTCCACTATAATTCAATCAGGTTCTTTACATACAGGATCAACGTGAAGTGGAATCAACAGGATTTGAACTGACTCAACAAATTTCCATTGTTCCATAGAGGAGTGGTCTTTAACCATGCTGCACTCGGTTAGCAACAAACACATGGAATCTCTTAGCTTCATTTGAAATGTAGCCAAGTATGACTTTGCTATCGGTCCAAAAGTATTCCTTTACTTCCTGATAACCTAACTCCTTCCTTAACATAGAGCTAATTCGAACAGCTACGACTGCAGCTGTTAGTTCTAACCTAGGAACAGTTATGGGCTTCAATGGTGTCACTCTAGACTTTGACATGACAAGTGCACAATGAACTTGTCCCTGCTCACTTACTTGCCTTAAATAAGAGCACTGTCCTCACCATGCGACTAGAAAAGAGAAATGATGCAGTTCCAATGATTGACTTTCTAAACAATCAGCCTTGTCTCATTAGGAATCTTTAAATCTTTCAACTGAATCAGATCATCTCTCCATTTCATGGTGTTTCAAATATCTATATGTCATCATCCCAGCTCTAATCCCTATTGACAAAGAGTTTGAAGTATTCTTACCAAGCAATATAAAAGGGTGAGAACCGTACCCATTGGATCGAAAACAGGGAACTCACCGTTGACAAATACTCTTCTCGTTATTGGTTGTCAATTATACTCTTATTGAAATGGAAGTATTATGATTCTATTAACCCTTCTACTCAAAAGTTCTCTCTATGGTAAGGCTGCACTAGAGAGATCTAGTGCTTTAAACTTTTCGCTTTTTCCTCTAACTTTATTGCTTTAAGAATTTTCTTATTTGACAGAACTTGTGCAATTGAAGCCACTTCGAAAAAATGCTTACTATCATGATTAAAGCTATGCTTCTGCAGGTGTAGGGTAAAGATGTTAACACCATCATATACATAACTATTCATTTTTACAAAGGAGAGGCAGCTTCTGCTACAACTTTGCCATGCATAATCATCCAGACCGTGGCTTTCAGTGCAAAACTTGCTACACTTGGAGAAGATGTCAGCACCAAATAAGTGAACTGTATATCCTTTCGTTCTATATCTTTGACAGTGAATCACGATTCCCTGTTCCACCACAGAAAGCGTAGGAGGTCTCTTTGATCGGCTTTACTTTACCTTGGTGGTCACATTGCTTCAGATCACATGCAATTGCTAATGTCCTTTCTGACATTGACACATACGAATCAGTTATTGTCAGATTCCGGAACTTGTCAAAGATTCTTATTAAGTTATCATTTTATACACAGCACTGGCAATCGAATCATACCCTAATTTTGTCAGGTTTCTTTGGATGATACACACATGATGTGGTAATACCATACTTTCCATCATTGAAATTTGGACCCTGGTATGGTGCCTCTTCTGCTCGTGTGTATATGAGATCTTCTCATAACGGAACCAATTTTGTTAGAAAGGTTTTTTTTGTTACTGTAGAAAAACCATCTTTTGATTTGCTTCCTTGTAGACTCATCAACCTAAAATTGCTAATCTTATTATTTGGAAATTGACCTATCCTATTTAGAGGGAGTGGCAATCATAACGCCCACTTTAGGTGATGATGATTCCATCTTGGCATTTTTCTTAAACGAAAATCTTGTCTTGATACCGAAAAAGACATTCCTGTCTCACGTTCATCATGAACCAAGCTCAAACAATTTTCGAACTGTGGCAAAATAATTATCTTTACTTTAGTGGTGAGGGAAAGAAGATACATTTTTGTGTCACCCTTAATGATAACATTATTGACTATTACTTTGCTAGTAGAAACTGTAATCTGAGTCAATTGTGTCTTGACAACACATTGCGCTCACTTTATACTCCAACAAGCACAAGTTCTCACTTGCATAAGGCTCGTCCATTTTCCCAGGCATAAACTCTCTTGGTTGATGGACGGAACAATTTAAGGCCAATCAGGATGCCCAACTTCAAAACTTCTATCGTTGGCACAATCGTTTGTAGTCTGTAATGAGGCCCACCTTTACACTTTATGGCCTGGAATTTGATCATGTCTGGGGTATATTCGTCCTGAATAAGTGACTGGAAGTGCAATCTCTATCCTTTTCATTTTTACCACATACTATCCGATGTCCTATAGTCTTTGTCGTTCCATGTTTCGTCGCCTGTCAATAGTTGTAAACTTTAGGTGTACCCTTGGAGCTAGAATGTTTAGGTCATTCATGGTGGAGTACTTAATAAAAACATTTGCATCTGACTGTTCATCCAAATAATGATAACCAATCACTTTGTACGTATGTTCGTTCCTGATGATCCTACTGGTACAATCATGGAATGCATATATACTCTGATTTTCTCAATATCTTATTTTATTGGAAACGCAATATCTTTGAGTTCCTCATAACTTGCTGGAATTTACCTTGTCTTTCATTATATTAGTTTCATTTGACAATGTTTACTGTATTTCCAGCCTCTTGTTCCTTATACATTTTGAGTAAGGCTTCCCTTTCTTTATTCTTTCAAGTATAGCCTCATGAAGAGATGTTGGATGACGTCTCTTACATACTGTGCATATATTCTTTCTTTTGCAGTTTTTAACAATATGGCCATGTTTTAAACAACCCCTACAAAGAAATGATTTTTGGACATATTCAAATTTTGCCTTATTATCAAGTCCATTAAAACCCTTTACATTTATCAGTTCATGATCAGCCTTGCAAAAATTACAATATGGTTTGTCTGGACTTTGTCCCCTGTCATCTCTATGTACCTTTGTTTCTTTTACACCTGTTGAGTTAGTCACAAACCTTTTTGTCCCAGACTTGTTTAATTCTGGTTTACCCTTCTTACTACTCATTGAAACATTGATATTATGACTCTGATTCCTTGTCATTACTGCATTTTGTGATGAGATTGGATGGCGAGCTTTCTTTGCCTCCACTTCTATAAATTCACAAAAAACTGAAAATGGAGGGTAACCTGCATCACTTGAGGACCATTTGTAAACTACAGAATTCCATCTATCTATAAGAGCTGGGTATAACTTCTGTAACATTTTACCATTTTCTTGAGGATCATTTAAAAATATTAAGGTAGTCTGTTGTTCTCATTACTGTTAAGCAATTCTTTAAGAAGTCTGACAATTCTGTAGTGCATGACCATCCTTATTTGAAATCTTTGGCCATTCATTTAATTTACTTCTAAAAGCATTTGCCACAATAAACTTATTTCCAAACCTATCCATTAATATACCTTTAGCCTCAAGATAAGCTTCTTCTTTGGGATACGAAGAAGTCCTTTAATGGCACCTTAGCTTCCCCACTTGTATAGTGACCTAGATAGAAAAGTTTCTCTGCAGGTTCTGTAACTCTTGATTCTTATAAAAATCTCAAAGGTTTGAAGCCAGGTTGGAAACTCCAATAAATCTCCACTGAAAATTTCTGGTTCTAGTTTAGGCAATTCACTTTTACTTTTAGATGATAAAATATTTAATACATCTTTGAGTACATTAAGGTCTATAGGTTGACTTGATCTACCTTGCCCAAAAGATGCATTCAAATCTTGAAAACTCTCTTTTTGGCTCAAAACTCTTTGTTTGTAGCTTAAGCTCTGGACTTGCTTTTAAGAAGGTATTCTCTAATTTAGGACACCTCTATCTCTAATTCACCCATACCTGATACATCATTAGCAGCTGTTTCTTGTTTTGGTAAAGTAGGATTTACTTTCTCAACCTCTGTCAATTTATCAATAGATTCAAAATATTTGTGAAGATGAAGTTCTTTACTATCATCTAGATCTTTACTTTGAGACAATTCTAGCTGATTTTCTTCTAGACTGGCTTTCTCTACTTCTTGAGATGGAAACCTATTTCTCATAAAAAGAAACTTTTTTGTACTCATATTCTTTTTCTTTCATGATCCTCTGTTGATTTATCACGAACATCTTATACTCTGTTTCCTTTTTATGAAGCTGAAGCTCAATTTGTAGCTTAGCTAATTCTGCTTGTATTCTTTCATTCTGTGTAACATTATGCATAGATCTCTTTGTTGAATGGGAGTGCTTTGATGATCTACTTTGTTGTGAATTTACTGAATTTGTTTCTTGTTTTAACTCATGCATTTTACTCTCAATTTTTTGCATACAATTATTGTGCTCCTCAGTCTCAAACTTTAACTCTTGTAACAATTCATCCTCAGAACTTGGATCTACTTCCATTAACAAGTTAAAGGCATTTACAAACTTCTTTAAACTGTGACTCTTCTGCCTTTCTATGAACATTAAGTTGATCCAAGCATACTACACTATCAAGACTTGGTAATATCTCTGATAATACCTTTTTCCATGCTAGCTTAGCAGATGATAACCTCTTTATATACTGTGTTGTTTGATACTCACGCCCTTTTTTCTGTTAAAACCTTTTTCCTAGCACCTTTCATTACCTCACTGGCCCCAGTTACCTGAGGTTGGTCACCTACAGCTTCTTCAGTAGCACTCATTATTACAACTACTATTTGTCTACTGACCTATATGGAACTTAAAACACACAATCTTTACCTATTAGTTAAAAGTTCACTAGCCTTTGGGACCTGTAGAAATGAAGAGCTTCTTTAAAGAGCAGAAATCTTCCAGTAATTTATAGGTTATCCTCTTGCCTTTGGATTCCCACGAACATTCACACCGTTC